GTCCCCCCCCCCCAACAGCTAGCAATCCGAAACAGTCCAGTGGAGCCTGAGCGGGGGGTGTTGCCTTCTGACACACTCCCGGTGATGTGGCATATGCAAATGAGTTATGCTAATAAGCTCCTGCACCTCTTTTTCTACGAAATGACCCCAGATAGGGCACCATATATCTGTCCATGTTGCCACGGTAACGCCGGGAGGGTAGGTGTGACGTGTGTGTGTGGAATTTCATGCTTTTACCTATAACCTGCACGTTCCCGCGGTTTCCTTCAGTCCCAGTAAAAGATCTTGTACCTACAGCAGCATATCTATAATAAAGCATTACACTGCCAATAGTGCATGTGGAGAGTGACTTAGCTGGGGACCTGGCAGGTGCTGAGCAGCACAGGATAAAAGCACAAATCCTGAGGGAGGGGTGAGTGTGTTGTCTTTGTCACTGCAAAAGGGACCGAGGGAGTCCCACAACATGAACTGTGGGGAGAGGTTGGGTGGTCTCTGTCCCTACACTGGGTCCCCTGTGCAAGGGCGGGCCGAGAGAGAGAGAGAGAGACAGAGAGAAGAGATTGGATTTATACCCCCGCCCTTCCCTATCCAAGGGAGTCTCAGAGCGGCTCGCAAACTCCTTTCCCTTCCCCTCCCCCACAACAGACACCCTGAGAGGTAGGTTGGGCTGAGAGAGCTCTGAGAGAACTGCCCTTGAGAAAACAGCTCTGAATGAACTTGTGACTGACCCAAGGTCACCCAGCAGCTGCGAGTGGAGGAGTGGGGGAATCAAATCCGGTTCTCCCAGATTAGAGTCCGCGCACTTAACCAATACACCAAACTGGCAGAGAGAGAGAGAGAGAGAGAGAGAGAGAGAGAGAGCGCGAGCGCGCTGGTCTAGGATGCAGCGGCAACGGAGGGTGAGCTGAGCCCACCCCCACCCCCGCTTGGAATCCCACCCGGCCTGTGAGGCCTCCAGGGGGGCGTGAGGAGCTGCTCTCTCTCCACCCCCGCCATCTGAAAGACGGGAATGACAACAGGGAACTCCGCCCCAGGGGTGGCCAAGGAAGTGGCCTCTCCGGAACAGCCCAGCACAAGCCCAGCTGGGGGGGGGAACTGGGGGAGTCCAAGTACCGGGAGCAGTGCCACCCCCCCCCAAATGGGGGGGGGGGGAGGGGCGGGGGGGGGGGCGCAGCAGCCCCTGGGCTGACCACCCGGGCAGCAGGACCGACAGACTGACTGACGTTTCCCTCAGACGATCCTCTCCCTCACGGTCAGCGTCAGAAGGAAAGACTCCCCACGGATCACTCCTGGCCCTTGCAAAGCTAAGCCAGGGAAATGGCGGCTTCTCACCCAACAACTGAAAGGGGCATCCAGGGAACCCCATGCCACTGCCATGGGGTGGAACCAGAGAATCAAGCAGACGTGCTCGGGGACAGCCTCAAGGAGAGAGGACACGCCAACGCTCCTCCGGACAAGAAGCACAAGGCCAACGGAGAGGCCGGAGCGGCAGAAGGCTTCATCAGTGCCAGTTAAGGTTTGTAACAGTGTGTTCTTTAATAGCATTTAAATAAGGCTTTGAATAATTACACACACTAAAAACTAACATCCCAGAACCTTAATCCGCATGGAAGATTGGCAGAGGGGCCCCCTCTGCACGGGTCAAAGTTCGATTCTGAACAAAATTACATTCAAGAAGAGGTGACTGAAGGGGGGGGGGGAGAAAAAGACCCCAGATTTAAAGAAGTCGGTTGCATCGTTGGCTTCTAAAGTTAAACTTGATCCTTCTGGACAAGGAAAGCGAAGAACAAATTAAATGGGGCGCTGGCCAAGGAAACGGAAGCCTGCCAAAAATTCGTGACTGGGCCCTCTCACCCTCTCCGATCAAAAGAAGCTGTGGAGAAGAAAAGCAAAATGGAATCAACGGAGAAGAGGAGGGAGCGGGTGCCAGGCGGGGGTCTGGGAGGAGACGGGCGCCGCGGAAGCCGGGGAAATCAAGCACCTGTGTTGGTGTCGAGGCCATCGTCCAAAATTACAGGCTCTCACAAAATCATTTGGGGAGGGGGAAAGCAGCAAATAAAATAGGAATCCACTGTTTCAGAGCCCGCCCCAGATTTCAGAACCTGGATGAAGACATTTGGGTCCTTCTCAGCCAATCCAACGGCCAGGTGGATATGTCAAAACCGCCAGAGGGGTGGGCCGAGGGGAGCCGTCGGCAGAGTCCAAAAGGGGGGGACGCTTTCAGAAGAACTTGTCGTCGATTCTGAAGTGAGGCCGTGTGACGTCATCGGGGTTGATGAAGACCGAGATGGACTTCCCCGGGTTCTCCGTCACCAGCTGCTGCAGCTTCTTGGCCAGCCGGTCGTCCGGCTGGCTGGCGTCCCCCCCGTCGGACTGGGGGGAGGGGATGCTGGTGGCGCTGCCCCTCCTCTGCAGCTCGAGCGTCAGCCGGTTGGCCGCCTTGACGTGCTCGATGGCAGTCCGGAGGTGCTCGGTGGGGTCGGAGCGCACCGAGGAGAGCTTCCGCGCGTGGAGCATGACGGCCTCCTCGGAGAGGTGCTCCAGCATGTTGCACTGGGGGATGAAGTAGTTGGGGCACATCTTGTTGACCAGGCAGTGCTGCAGGTCGTCAATGAGGCCCAGGAGGAAGTGGGCGGCGCAGTCCTCCTGGGCCAGGTAGTTGGCGGGCAGCCGGTCGCAGGCCCAGAGCATCATGGTGCGCAGGTGGTAGGGGCTGACAGCCTTGGGCCGCGAGAGCAGCTTGATGATGATGGCCTTGCAGGCCTGGTAGGCCTGCATGAGGCTGCCGGAGATGCACTTCTTCAGCTGCACCTCGCTGCGGGCGAAGGAGAGCCGCCACTCATTGTCCTTCCGGCCCTTGTGCGAGCAGGCGGGGACCAGGTAGAACCCGCTGATGACCTCCTCCTCCGTGATCTTCCCGTCCCAGAAGTGGTTCTCCATCAGCCAGCTCTGGGCGACCGCCGGCCAGCCCTTGAAGGAGACGACGGGCACGATGTCGTAGAGCATGCGGCTGCTGCCCACCCCCAGGATGATGGAGATGATGGTCCCGCTCTTCTCCACCTTCTCCACCTTCGGCATCCCCCGCTGGGGCTTCTTCTGGATCTCGGAGAGGACCACGCTGATGGAGTCGTGGAACCAGTCCGCCACTCTCGTCGGGGAGAAGAAGTAGTTGGTCGCCCCGTTGATGTGGTCCACGATGGTGCAGCAGTCCTTCCACTTGCCGATCGTCCCCTCGTCGAAGAGCCGCAAGCTGAGCCACGAGTGGCACAGGGTGGAGTGGCGCATGTCCAGGGTGACGGGCTGGTTGCGGTCGTGGAGCTTCAGGGCTGGCACCAGGAGGGTGAAGTCCATGTCGTAGTCCGTCCCCCGGGCGTAGATGTTCAGTTCATCCAGGTCCAGGTCCACCACGCCTTCCCGGACCCCGCCGGAAAGCAGCAGGTACTCATTGGCGACGGGCAGTTTTTGGTCGAGCTTCTGCACCATGCCTGCGGAGACAAAGAAGAAGACGTTCAGAGCGTGACTGGGGGGGGCAGGAGACCTCAGCCCACGCAAGTCAATGCAGAGCCTCCGTTAATCGGAGAGGAAGGAGGGGGAAGGCACAGAATCGAAGCGGGAAGCCACCATCTGGGGCATCCTCTTCCACCTTTGCATGCCTGAGGAGCAATTTCCCCCTGTCTTGTCAATCTCTGTCACATGGTACAACTCTCACAGAAACATAAAGTCAAAGGGGACTCGCCAGACAGAAACACTCGCTGAACCGACGGCCAGGCCCTCTGGAACAGGCTCAAGTGTCCCCCCCCCACCAGGATGGCTACTGAGCACAAGGGCTGCTGGAGAACTGATTTCATGGCAACCATCACACCTTGGATCTTGGGGAAGTTCTTGCACTTTCACACTTCTGCACGACGTCTGACCCCCCCCCCCCCCATACCAGGATGGCTACTGAGCGCAAGGGCTCCTGGAGAACTGATTTCATGGCAACCATCGCACCTCGGATCTTGGGGAAACTGCTGCACTTTCATGCGTCTGAATGACGTCTGACCAACAATCCACCAGGAGCTCAGTAAGCCTCTCCTTTTGCTACCGGTCTGGGACGGCAATAACAGCAAGGGATGCTGCCAAGAAGCCTCCCTTTTGGACTTCTCTTGCTTCCACCCTGGGCTAAGGCCAAGACCAGCTCCCCTCTGCACGTCACGTGGTGGGGGGAGGGCGAGAGCTCCTGGCTGTTCCCCCTGCGAAGGACGGAACGCCAAGAAGAACAGCAGGAGGACCTCGCCAAATGGAGCGGGACAGACCCTCTCCGAGAAGAGCCTCCTGCCACCTGATATCTGGATCATTAACCCTCCGTGCGCCTGTAGACCTGCCATACTGGCATGGGCCAAAGGAAAAAAAAACCCAAGCATTTGCCATTTCCCACCTCAGACTTGCCATTCTAATAAGCTAATTAAATGGTCTAAATTACCTGCCGAGGTCACACATCTTCGATTAGACCAAGACTGCCCCAAACACACCTCCTCCCTCCCTGGAGACTGCTCCATGTAACCTCACTTGGAAGTTTCCCATGGGATCTTGAAATAACCCTCTCCTCCCCTTCGAGCAGCCAGGTTTGCTCACTTGACCACCCACCACATCCCTTTCTAAGGCCAGAAAGAAAGACAGGTTGCTTACCTGTAACTGGTGATCTTCGAGTGGTCATCTGCCAAAGGAAAAAAAAAACCCAAGCATTTGCCATTTCCCACCTCAGACTTGCCATTCTAATAAGCTAATTAAATGGTCTAAATTACCTGCCGAGGTCACACATCTTCGATTAGACCAAGACTGCCCCAAACACACCTCCTCCCTCCCTGGAGACTGCTCCATGTAACCTCACTTGGAAGTTTCCCATGGTATCTTGAAATACCCCTCTCCTCCCCTTCGAGCAGCCAGGTTTGCTCACTTGACCACCCACCACATCCCTTTCTAAGGCCAGAAAGAAAAGATTATTTCATTTTGGTGCTTTGCTATTCCTCCTATAACTGGAGCCAGAACCTGTCTCAAAAGCAAGCTGTCGGCTGGCTCCAAAACTCTTCCATTTCTGTCGCTGCAGAGACCCTGCTGATACGCTCCAGACTTCTCCTGATTCTTCTGCCCAGGCAGGTGCCAAACAGACGCCCTTCCACTGAGCCCCAAACTCTCCCCAAAACACCCCACAGAGAACTGTGTGCACCCACCAAGCCTTCCAGGAGGAGAGGAGGGGACTGGATTTCTACCCCGCCCTTCACTACCCAGAGGAGTCTCAGAGCAGCTTACAAACTCCTTTCCCTTCCCCTCCCCACAACAGACACCCTGTGAGGTAGGTGGGGCTGAGAGAGCTCTGACAGAAACTGCTCTTTTTCAAGAACAGCTCTTATCAGAACTGCGGCTTGCCCAAGGTCATCCAGCAGGTGCAAGTGGAGGAGTGGGGGAATCAAACCCGGTTCTCCCAGATGAGAGTCCGCGAATTTAACTTAAAGAGTGGACGTCTTTATTCTCACTGCGAAGGGGGGGGCAGCACTAAGGTCCAGGTTTAAACAGCTGGGAGGCGGGAGGGGAAGCTGCTCCCCGCCTGGGAAGGATGCAGATGTCACCGTGTCTGGGACGGCCCATTACCCCAACCCAGTTAGCTGCTCCATTTAGCAATGGGAATGACAAATATCATAAAGACGCCCAGCAGGTTCCTGGCAAGAACAGCCGATGGCCATAAATAGTTTCAAAGCAAATCAAGGGAAGGCCAAAAAAGCCGGAGAGAGACAGTGGTGTTCAGAAAGCTTGGCTGTCCGTTCCAGAGGCCACCGGACAAGGTATACTTCGTTTGCTGTATCTCCCCTGCACACCAGGGCAATTAGAAGTCTGAGCAGACAACACACAAGGGCACATGCATGCTCACACGTGGTGCCCCAGGACCAAAAGGAAAAGAGATGGGAACTTCTCCGCCAAGGCAGCCAACTAGTCCCCTCGGAAGTTTCGCCTCCCTCTCAATCGATTTGCAGGGGATTTCGTCTCCAGGACTAGAGCGATTTGAGGTTCCTGTGGCCAAGATGGATGGAAAGTATCTTGTCTCACTAACCTGTTCTTTGAGGGGGTGAACAAACATGTGGACAAGGGGGATCCAATAGATATTGTTTACCTTGACTTCCAGAAAGCTTTTGATAAAGTTCCTCATCAAAGGCTCCTAAGAAAGCTCAAAAATCATGGGATAAAAGGACAAGTCCTCTTGTGGATCAAAAACTGGCTAATTAATAGAAAACAGAGAGTGAGTATAAATGGGCAATTTTCACAGTGGAGTGTGGTAAGCAGAGGGGTACCGCAGGGATCAGTACTTGGTCCAATGCTTTTTAACTTGTTCATTAATGATTTGGAGATGGGAGTAAGCAGTGAAGTGGCTAAATTTGTGGATGACACAAAGTCGTTCAGGGTGGTGCAAACCAGGGAGGATTGTGAGGCACTCCAAAGGGATCTGTCAAGGATGGGCGAGTGGGCGTCAACATGGCAAATGGAGGTCAATGTGGCCAAGTGCAAGGTGATGCACATTGGAGCCAAAAATCTCTCCTTATATATAAAAGAGTAGTGGGGACCAAAGTTCTAAAATGCACTTCTTTAGTGTTAGGCCGAAAAAACTGCCACTCGGAAGACACTGGCTGGGTTCATTGGCTGCTTTGTGCAGTCCCGCCCAGCGTTCCAAGGTCATTTACATATGGAAGCTGATTGGACTACACTCCATTCCACACCTCAGACTCACCCCCCCCCACAAGGCAGTTGGAATTTTCAGTTGGAAGAGC